TCAAACATCTCCCCCAACAAATCCGTCCCACAACACAACACCAACTACTACAAATTCGAGCTGCACATACACCGCAGAATGCAGCAAAAAAACAAATGCAACTCAAAAAAGGCACACAGACGGAAGGCCAGAGACAGCCGCAGACGATGACACAAAACAAAAACAACAGAATAAGCACACATAGAACGAAGACAAATGCATTTGTTCGGCTATTCTATAGATCGGCAAAAATGACCTAAGGCTAAACTCAAGAACATATGCAAATGGAAGAATACATAAATGTATTTATACCTATGCAAAGAAGTAAGTTATGTACACAAACAGAGACAAACACAATGAGATCTAAGCACAGAAGAACTGTGCAACACACGGATTGAATGCAGAAAACAGTCTAAAAGAAATCCCTACTCCACCAAAAAAACCTCAACTAGTACCAAGCATTAGCAGCAGTAGCAGCAACACCGACGGCAAAATAACCACAGCATTACCAAAGCCAGTAACTGCAGCAGCAAGTAGGGCAGGAGCAACAACAAAACTAACAACAAAACAACCGCACCGCCACAAGATATAGCACTGGCAGCAGCAGCAGCAACAGAAACAGCGGGCCTTACTTCTGCTGCAGCTAAGGCCCTGAGTTCATACGCGCTCTTCCCCTGTTTGACCAATTCAATTCGTCTTTGCTTGTCGATCTTCAGCACTTCTTGTTTCGCCCTCCTCCGCATCTTCTGTAACTGTGCCCTGCTGGGACCCGACGTTGCTTCTGCTGCTGCTGCTGCTTCGCTCCCCAGACCTCCAGAGCTGCCGCCTCCAGCCTTCAGCCCACCGCCGCCTGCTGCGGCCCCACCTAAAGAAGTCCCTGCCAAATCGTCTCCCTCCTCAGCGCCCAGCTGTCGCAGCAGAAAAAGCAATACAAACAGAGGCAGCTGCGTTGGCTGGCAGCAAAAAGGGAGAGTTCACTGTAGAAGTGCAGTGCCTTTGTACCCGTACCCAAACCCCAAACCCTAAACCCTGAACCCCGAATACACACCTCCATGCTCGCAGCCATTGCAGCAGAGCTGTCATTTAGGTCGAGGAAAAAGCAGCGCAGCAGCTGCTGCCGCCGCTGCACCAGCCGCTGCTGCTGTCGCCTTGCTGCCCATATGCTCCCCCACTCAAAAACCAAGCCTGGGCAGCTGCTGCGACGGCTGCTGCTGCTATTGCTGCTATCGCTTGCCTCATCCTGAAGGGCGAAATTCCCCCTGCGCGAGTCGATCCCGCCTTGCAGCTGCAGCAGCTGGTGCTGCTGCTGTTGCGGCAACTGCAGCAGCTGGTGCTGCTGCGGCTGCTGTGTAGCAGCGGCATTGGGGACGAAGAAATCTGCAAAGGGGCTAAGACTATCCACAGGCGGCGTCGCCAGCAGCAGCTGCAAAAACCGGAGCCCTTGCTGCCGGTGAAGCAGCACTTGCTGCTCCCCGGACATAAGAGCCAGCTGCTGCTGCTGTTGCATGCCCGGCCTGTTGCTGCAGCAACACACAATGACCGCGTAAATCCCGAACGCTAGGCCCCTGAAGAGAGTGCATTAGGCAGAGCTGAGGGCTTAGGGTTTAGGGTTTACAGGGCTCACTGTGCAGCGGCGATAGCGCTCCTCTCTAACTCCGCCAGGAGATCTCGGCGTGTTGCTGCCTCCTCTTCCGCTGCTGCAGCAGCAGCAGCAGCTGCTGCTGCTGCTGCTCTTTCGCGCTGCCGTTGTGGGTCGCTCACTGCCTCTTGATGTTCTTCTGCCTCATCAGCTGCTGCCTCGTCGGCTGCTGCTGCTACTGCTGCTGCGTCGCTCTCCTTCCACGCGAGAGCAGCAAATCCCTGAGCCAGCACAAAGCTACTGCTGCCCGGAAGCTCGCCCCACAGCATGCTTTGTACGAATGCGTTCTCTGCTGTTGCAGCAGCAGCAGCAGCAGCAGCAGCTTCTGCCTCTATTGCTGCTGCCCCAGACGACACGCCAGGCACCCCTGCAGCACCCGAGACCCCTCCTGATGCTGATGTTGTTACTCCTTCTCCAGCAACGCCCAGCGCATGCGCCCGCATCCCGTGGAGTTCCTGCTGCTGCTGCTGCTGCTGTGGGTGGCGTTCAGCAGCAGCAGCAGCAGCGTGGGGGTCGTCTACGTCTACATCGTCGAATTCAAACTCTTGGTCCAAATCTCCTGTCGTGTGTTGCACTGATGGATGTCGTTGCTGCTGCTGCTGCACTGCTGAACGGCGCCCCGCTTGGCTGTAGCCGTCACGTTGCAGCGATGGGGCATCCGATGCAGCAGCAGGCGTTCTGGGCGTTGCTGCTGCTGCTGCTGTCCCTGCTGCAGAGGCGGAGGGGGTCTCGGATGTACTAGGCGGTGCAAACAACCCATAGTCCTCGCCATCATTTGCTGTTGTTGTTGTCGCTGCTGCTGTTGTCGCTGCTGCTGTTGCTGCTGCTGCTGCAGCTTCAGCAGCAGCTGCATCCGCCACAACGCTCTCTAGAGCGTCTTCTAAGGCGTTATCAAGCTCCCATTCCTCATCGACGTCGGTTCCTTGATTTGCTTCTGCTCTTGGTGTTGCTCCTGTTGTTGCTGCTGCTATCGTTGTTGTTTCTGCTGCGGCTGTTGCTGCTGCTGCTGCTGCTTCTGCGGTTGTTTCGTTCCGCCGATCCTCTAATGTATCGCTACCCTTAGCGGCTGCCTCAACTTTGCTGCCGCCATCTTGCTCCTCC